AGAACTAGAGTACATTAATATAACGGACGGTATCTTTGAGACATGTTGCCAGTTTCTGAAACATTGGTCGGGACGGTTGTATACCTCTGTTGCTATGCAAAGCAAAAATTTGTCCGAATCGAATAACGATCAAGATTAGTATCTTTTCAAGATAATTCTGCTAATATTGTAAATGCGAAAGTTTGTGAGGATATATAGTATGCTTATTACTCTTTAACGTAAAAATTACTGAACTGATATGGATGAAATTTAGTATACGGATAATTATATGTCTGTATATAAGCTATAGGCTACTATATCGCTATATACTACTACCTTTATCTCACTCAATAGTTTCTTAAGGAGAACGAGTACTAAGCCGCTGGCGGAGAGCTAGTATTCATATGAGGTCCTCATCTCCAGCCTATAAATGTCCCCAATGCTGGAGCTCAGGACTTCCCTATAAATGGAATCGAATAATAGATAAAATCCAATAGACTGACCCACCACGCGGGTCCAGTGCGGATTGGTGGGTGATTCATATCAAACCCAACTGGCATAGGTTCAAATTAACTTTTTCTTTGTTTGTGCAATGAAAAAGTCAACTTACTCTAGGCATTGCATCATCAAGCTCAGCTTTGTTTGATAGACAAGTGTAGTTTGGATTTATTAACTTTTCCCATACAAACTTTCATCCCCTATTTCACCCCTTTTTTCGAGATGAAAGATAAAAATAAAAACCACTTTCGCAAAGTTCGGTTATAGAATGGGTGACCAAAACAATTATTATCTCAAGCTCATCCGTTCGTCGGGAAGGCAACTGCATCTGCGGTCATTAACACCTACCCAATCTGTATTGGACCCAGTTTCCCTAAACGATTTCGACATGGAATCCATCCATAGGGAAAGCCTGAGCTCAAAGTCAATCCTAACTCTGTACCAAGTTTTATTTAATCTATTCAGTGGTAATATCTTTCGCCTCATCACCATCATCATCACCAGCCCTTTTACGTCCCCACTGCAGGGGCTCAGGCCTTCCTTATGGATGGTGAAGGAGGATGGGCCATGACCCTCCACGCTAGTCCAATGCGCATTGGAGGGTATTAACGACTGCAAATACAGCCGGGGTCGACGGCTTAACGTGCCTTCCGAAGCACGGAGTGGCTCAAGATAATAATTGTTTGGTCACCCATCCCGTGACCAACCCTTGCGAAAGTTGCTTAACGACTACGATCGCGGGCCGCGGCGCTTATCCACTACGTCACCGAGCCGCCTACTCATCTTTCGCCTATATAATATTAATAGAGCTTACATCTACAGAAACATTACAATATTAAGCATCATTTAATCGATACAAATTCAATATTTTCTTCAATTTCCAATTACATTAAACATAAAATCTTAAACGAATCCGATACCTACAAACTCGCGAGTTACACGGCGACTTTCAAACTTGATAACTCAAGTATTTCAAGTTTTAAGTGTTCAACTTCGGAAATTGTATTGATCTCGAATTATTAGAAAAGTCGTTTACAACGGCCCCTCCTCTTTTGTACGATATCTTGAACGTGTAAAATTTTCTCTGTTTACTACACAAAATAAATATGGGCCCACCTTATAATAAACTAGGAATGCTTATGAATTTTAAACTTTTAATTAGACGACCTCCGTGGCCGAGTCGTTCGCACGCCGGTCTCAAAGTATCGTCATCTCCGTGGTCCCAGATTCGATTTCCTGTCAGGTCAATGTAGATAACGGACTTTTCTATATTGTCTCGGGCCTGGCTGTTGTGGTATCTTCGTTGACTCAGATAATCCATAATATGGGAGCTTTAGCCACTCAACTTGCAATCTGAAATAAAACAAATTAAATTTAAAAAATCGAGCATATCCTCTGAATTATCTGTTCTTTCAACCTTTGTTTTTAAAGCACTGATATTGTTGACCCTTAATGCAACATTGATTTTTCAGTCTCGAGTACTCCAAAATAAGCACAAAAATCGTTTGTTTGAAAAGAAACGTGCGTAGTTCACCGAAAAGACTACAATAGCGCATCTAGTCGCAAATTTGAAGTATTTAGCACACATTACCTAAGTGAAGAATTTAATAAAATGATAAATTTTAGAGGTAACTCTGTATTTTTTTTTTTCTATTGAGAACATTTATGTTTGGACTCTTTCCAGTAATCTTTTAAATACGACATAGTTTCTCATTTTCAATAATAGCCTTTTTTACAAATCCGATTACAAATAAGTAATGGTTGGTAAACGTACCCTCCCAAGGGTAGTTCATAAAATGAAAAGTTAAATAATATCATATCATAAGCCAGTGTCTCGAACACATAATTGATTTCACGCTTTTACAAAACTAGTTTCACATGTGCTAAAACTTGTTCCAAGCGTGACACTAATTTCGTGATGGAATTTAGACTTGATGAATGAAAATGCAGTTACGTGCATAACGCTGGCTCGCAGTCGTCGGCTTTCAGTTAGTTTGGTGTGAACGCAGCCTTATTCTATTCACATGGAACATTTGCCCATTATGTTTTCGTATATTGCTGTCATAAATAGATTATGAGCTCGTTTGTCGCTTTTGATATAAGTCCTCAGTTGACATTATGACGCATCAATTTTATTACATCTTATTTTTCCTAGTGGCAATATACTTCTTTTATTAAGAACTATTGATTAGCTTTAATCCGCGGATTAGTCCGTGTGATATAATTACTTTGGGCAGATTTTTTAATTATATGCGGCTACTTATAGAAAGACTAGCGAGTTCGCCGAACATGCACACAACCTTTCATCCCCTATTTCAACCTGTTCAAACTTTTTTTTTCTACGATGATAGTTGCATGTGCCAGGCACGTCAACTTTATCGGTTCAGTGATTTAGGCGTGGTAATATAACAGACAGACACAGTTACTTTTGCAATTATAATATTAGTAGATGTCTTCAAAACTACTGTACCGATTTTAATGAAACATTTGGGGCGCAAAGGAATAATTGCGACGATGCTTATCTACTCCGCGAGAAAACTGACGACAAACATGGTTAGATATATACCATAAACGCATACTCCTGCAAAATTTTGTACATGTCTTTAGAAGACCATATTGAATGAAGTTTCTGACATTGCAAAGGAATTATATATATGCAGGTCAAATTGATAACTTTTTTTAACTCAGTCATAAAGAATGTATGAACGCGTGCTCTGGCAACGGTTTAATACGCCGTTCAATTTTCTAAGGTACAAATTAAAGATATAATTCGACCAGTCGAGTTCTCAACATTTAATTTGCGTTTAACAAATTAAGAGCAGAGGCGTGCGTCCTTTGAGCGAACGATTGAAATTCATGGGGCGTTTCAACGTTTTCGCTGCTAGTCGACCGTGAAACTTTGTTCTACTAAAGTAAAATCAGTTGTGGACCAGACGATATTCAGCGTCCAATTTAATGTTTAAAATATTGTTTTAACTTTAAACTATTCAGTTTAAACCTATTAGAACCATTGCGGGTATATAGGCACATGCCGCATGACTCACTTTCGCTCTATGTTCAATATGAATTCTTATATAACTATATCCGCATTGGTCCAGACCAGCAGAGGAACCGCCTTATAACAATATTTCGTTTCATTTTACTGCCTTAACAAGTCTTTTGGTAGATAAATTTTGGATAAATGTCTAATTTTGAAACACTGCTGGCAAACGCATATTCTTCATTCTTTATTTAAGTTTTATGATAAGTTTCTAAGTGACATTACGTTTATTTTAAAATCGATAACGATTGGTTAGTTCTTAGAAACTTCTCTATGGATAGCAAACTTCTCTATGTGTTTAGTAGAAAGATTATGAAGAGGTGTAGGTAATATGTATATTGTAACCTTGTTTGTAATTTAATTTTTATTTTTATTTGATGTTAAACTTTTGTTTAATGTCTTTGAAATATTTATATGTACATATTTTGTATGTTTACGGCTAAAAGACAGGGTTCCAAGCCAGCATTAGTAAATAAAAAGAAAACATACTTTATCGTTCGTCCGTCGTTACTAAAGTAGATGTGAAAATAGTAAAATGAAATAAAATGTTGACATAACATCTATGATATGTTGTATCCTATGACTAATCTTGGGTAGAGAGTTACCCATGATTAGTTACCCAAGGGGGCAGATTGTTGCTTATATGAGCATCATCAGACTGTCGATATTATCTTTAATGTCACTGTAGGTAAACGCATCAACAACAATCGATGCTTGTTTTAATTTTGACATTCAAGTCAGAACGCGTTCGTTGAAGACAAGACCGAGCGCAACTCATCATCGTCATCACCAGCCCTTTTACGTCCCCACTGCAGGGGCTCAGGCCTTCCTTATGGATGGTTAAGGAGGATGGGCCATGACCCTCCACGCTGGCCCAATGCGGATTAGAGGGTATTAACGACTGCAAATGCAGCCGGGACCAACAGGTTAACGTGCCTTCCGAAGCACGGAGTAGCTCGAGATAATAATTTTTTGGTCACCCATCCCGTGACCGACCCTTGCGAAAGTTGCTTAACGACAACGATCGCGGGCCGCGGCGCTTATCCACTACGCCACCGAGCTACAACTAGCGCAACTCACGTGGAATAAAGTTTAGGCTATCACTCACTCCCTCATTCGGTTCTTTTGTCAATGTAGTTTGCTTGAGGCCGTCTATTATTAAGCACTACCCGTTTCTTCACTTTAATTACCTGTAGCCTATGTGCCCACATATGATGTAGCATCTTGAGGTATAAAAAAAAATTAAACCAAAATTTTAAATCAAATCTTTCCTCGTAATAATATAAGTACATGTAAGTTGTATATAATATAAGTATCTACCATAGTTCCTGATGATTATCTTTTCTTTCAGTTTGAAACTCCTCATAAAAAAATCTAATAATCGCATTGCAAATAACCTTTGCTCAATTAACAATCACTATAAGTACTCCTTTTTAAACCTTATACCCGACATTCATAAAATCGTTCAAAAATTTCGTTGAATATGTTTGAAATTATACATAATTTGCCCTGGGTACTTCAATAAAATTAGACTGATGAAATATCTATGAGAGTTTGTCCATTAAAAATTCGATGATGAGATCATAATTTTATTGTCGTAACTCAAATAACCCCCCACATCGGAAACACTCAGCACGATAATGTAGCTTTTGAACCGCGAAAGCTTTTAACAGAATCGATACTCTTCAATATTCACGAGAACCAAATTATTCGTCAGCTAAATAACTGGTATATTTATGACGTAGTCATTAGCTTTAAATTCAAAAGTTTATGAAAGTTATGTTAAATGGATGTTTGAAACAAAATAACTGTAACTTCTAATTGATTTGAATGAAGAATTAAATTCAAAATAAACTGTAATTAAAATGAGAAAACTACGTTGTGTAAATTTATGTCTGAGGGTATTGATTATGTTAACTGGAGATTTGAACGTATGTTCGATAAAAAAAAATATATAACCTGTAAAATTTACCATTTTATCAATTCTTATTTTCGTATAATTATAGTCTTTTCAACATCGTCAATTTCTACTGGGCCATAAGCATTCTTTATCATTGGAACCAAATAAAGAGAGGCCATCATCCATTATCCACCACGCGTGTGCAAAGCAGATCGGTAGATATTAAAGACTGCAGATGCAGCAGGAACTAGCAGCTTAAAATGCCTTTCGAACATGAAGGAGCTCGAGATGCTAAATATTTCCAGAGCTATTTTTGTTCATCCATCATATTATCGACCTCTGCTTCTTTAAATGAAGATCTTTAAATGAATACTACAATAAGACTTAGTAAAAGCCTGATATGACGAACTTTAAAACTATTTGTTATTTAACATTTAAATATTAAACCTATTTATAAAGATAACCACAATTCCATATGTTGTCCATTTTCGCTTAGCTAATATCTTAATGGCTTACGCTTGGCTATTAAGCAAATTACTTGGTGACTATATCTCTGGTGCATACCTATGTTTAGTTAATGGCTTATTTATTATAGAACAGACACTTAGTGATGGTTATGACAGGGGACATATTATGATGAATCGTATTGCCGATTGGCTTTTAAATCGATTGTCTGTCACAAGTTTACGTCTGTTATTTTATACTGAGTGTATTTTAATTGACGGCGCTGTTCAGTTTTCAAAATAGGTTAAGTACACCGATAGCATTAAGTCACATTTTGAAACTAATTTTAAGGATTGCAGCAACCATTGTAAAATAAATCATTGTACTCTTTACTTACCATATAATGCAGGTTAAGCAAATCCTGATTGCTATTAAATCTATTTTTATTTAAAAAGAATGGTGCAAGTCGGATTGTTTAAAGTGGACAAAGTTATAGGTGGTATATATATGTCGCAGCCAACTGGTTAGATTAGCCGTTCAATTGGTCAGCTAGCCATTTAATTGAATGGCGCTTCAATAGGGCTGATTCAATAGAGATGACGACAAATTTGTTTTGTTTGTCCATCAGTTAGATTGTTCAAAAATTTAATTTTAATTTAGTCAGGCAATTCAATTAATCATATCCTTTGTTTTTTTTTTGAGATAGATGTCAAAGTAGTAAAATAATACGGATTATCGATATCAAATTGCGACATATTTTCGTATCCTATAACGATCACACCCTTGTACACCCGCAGTGGGGAGGTATTAAAAAAATATTGAAAGTATCTTTATTTACAGGTAATAACAGCGAGTCGTTGCCTAGTGTTGTGCGCCGAGAGTCGTGGGGAGATGGAGTCGTGGGCCGGAGCTCTGAGGGGCGCGCTACATAGAGGTGCGGACGTGGCCGATCTAGTGGCCCGGCTCTCCTCCGGCGATCACCATTGGTTTGTAATCAAAATTCCTTTTAAGAAATTAAAATATAAGTATTACTATGATATTACTACTACTACTAGTATTACTATAATAGTTGTGGAAGATTTTATCTAGCCATATTATATTGAAAAAGTCTGAATATTTAAATGAAATATAATTTATTTTTATCTAAATATAATGACCACCAGGTACACAGCGACGCATGCCCGGCCCACATTCTGTAACGTGTGCCGTGAACCGCTCGGCGCTCTCGGCACCGCGCACGCACTCGCCTGCGAGCTTTGCAAGTACAAGGCGCACAAGCGTTGCGCGTCGCGTGCGCCGCCGCCATGCAAGTGGACCACGCTCGCATCGCTCGGCCCGCACGTGGTGGAGGACGCGGAAGGGGTAAGAATAAGAATGTTTATAATGACAACTCTCTATCACATTATAACAACAACAAAAGATAGACAATAACTAAAAAAAATTAACATCTTAAGCTATACATAATAAGCGGGTGGTTATATTGTGTAAAGGTCAATTAGGACCTGGTCTCAGATAATGTTGCTACTGTGTTTCATGACAGCGACAACGCTGACATTGTAACAGGACCTATGTAGACAGGGTAGGATAATTAAAATTGGAAACACATTAACTTTGTTTTGTGTCAACACAAATGGATCAGTTTCATTGTAATAACGATAACGAACACCTGATAACGAACCAACACGACACATGAATGTGTTGTCTCCTTTACACCGATAATTTGAAAGAGCCTAACATAGAGAAAATGGATCCTTTAGGATCAGGATTGAGGTTTAGGATCGGCTATTCGTCCGGCGCAGTTTATAAGCTCTAAAAATTCGTGGACCGATTGATCTGAAATTTGATGCATACCTGTATATAAATCGGTTACCCAGAGATGTAAAACGTAAATAAAGAAATTTGGAACAACACGGTTTCCGTCTTTGAGAGGGTAAATAAGTTAGGATATTATAAAAGTAAAAAAATCTGTACAAAGTCTAAGGGTTTTAAAATCTAATATATATATTTACTAGCTATCCCCAGCGACTTCGCCCACGTGGTCCCTAAGAAAATGTTAAGTGAGATAAAAACTGGACGGACAAACATCCAAACAAAGAAATTTTCACATTTATAATATTAATAGGATGCAGAACCCTTTGCGCGCGAGCCCTACTCGCTCTTAGTCGATTTTATTTAGTTATAAATTATACTAGGATAGCTCTAGATCCAAGGTACAGCAGTCGACAACCTACACTTAACCATAAACTTATAAATACGAGTATAATTTAAATTACTTTTTGAAGACAACTTAAAGTTTGTTTGATCTTTTCAAAGTATTGAATTGTTTGAGTGTACGTACAAAAATTGACTGTTACTTTTACTATACTGGACCGATAAAAAGAAAACCTCACCAAAACAGTGATAAATGCGTTTTGAGTATCAGTACGTTTTTATGAACCATAAAATATTTAATGTTTTTTTTTTAATATAAATTTAAAGATTTTTACGAACGATATCAAAATAAATAGGTAGCCGATGTGCTTTAAAAATAAATAAACGGCTCATTTGGAAGTTAAGTCACGTCATATTTATTTGTTAGTAATTTTATGTGCAGGGCAGTCACAGATTATCTTTTATGCCAACTAGGACGGCACTAGGCACGGCCTAGGGGCATCTAATCACAAATTCGCGCGCGAAATTTGAAGAAAAGCTTTTTCTCCAACTTCATTCCTCAATTCCTGGCAAAGTCACCCTGTGCTTTGCTTTAATCCGCAATTACTAATAGATACGATCGGTCATAAAAGTGGTTTGACCGTTTTGTAAAAAGTTTCTGTGAAATCTACATACCTAATTATCGCCAATGTTGACTTTTCGTTCACAGACTGCGCATCTAAAGCATAGCCTCGAGTGTTAGTCTTTGCTCTTGCTAGGTGCGTCGTCAGTGTCGAATCAATCACCAGACTAGTCAGGATTGGCCTATCCAATTGTAAACCGATCAGTCAGCTTGACAGATCATTCAGGGGTTCATTTTGACAGATCAATTACGATTTCAGTCACGCGGTAAAGCCGCTGGCCAGGCCACAATCACGGTAGTCGATGAATGAACAATATTAATTTACGCTGTGAACATGTTTACACGAATAGATACATTTTATGTTGCAAGTATATCAAACACACCCTGAAGATTATAAATAGGAAACTATAAAGGTAACAAAGCACATCAATTCCCATTTGGCAATATATAATAAATAATGATATCTAATGGCCGTTACAGTTATATATGTCGCATCATCTTTACGAAGATCACTTGATTTAGTTACTTTTTTAAATTGCTAGTTGCTCGATTACTTAATTACTCGATTGTAGAGAAAGCGTGATCATCGATAATTCTAATTTTATTAGAATGGTGACACTGACTTTGACAGTTCGTTAACAAAAGCTAATTGCCGCCATTTTGGCACACATTCTGTTTCTGAACGCCGAGGAGTAAAGACATCTGACGACATCACGCTCATCTCGTTATATTTTCGCATGAAAAGTGATAAAATGGAACAAATCCACGTTGGTATACACGCCTGCAGTGTTATTTTAAAGATAGTCCTCCGATATGGACGATCTATTTGGGCTTCGTAATAGCCCCTTCGGACTACCCTCCGTTATATATAAGTAATTGAATTTCTTTCTAAAATATCTACTTGTAACGGTGCGTCGTATCACCGTTTATTTCGTCCTAGGTTTTTCACATGCAAACTTTTTGTCTTTGATCTTCAACGTTATTTATTTTTATTATTCACTTTTCGTAATTTGAAATTTTGAGTAATCCAATATGGTCTTTATGAATTAAGAATGTTATACATTCTTAATTTCAATCAATAGAAATTTGTTGTAAAACATTGTTAAAATCTATCTATTATTACCTGTTTTCGTTATGCTCATGAGTTTGAACTCAAACTCAACACTACATTCATCGTGCGAACTGCGAAGCTGTGGAATTCGCCACCAGACTCGCTGTTTCCGGGCAAATACAATCTGGGACTCTTCAAGTCAAGAGTGAATCGGTTCCTTCTAGGCAAGCACGCTCCATCTTAGACCACTGCATTGCTTACCATCAGGTGATCTGTGGTCAAGTGCTTGCCTAACTAGAATAAAAAAAAAAAAAAAGAAAAATGTATACTATATCAAATGAAATATAATAAAGTTAAATTACTCACCAAACCCGAAGAAAACAGTTATTTTAGTTGTAACTCATAAAGAGCATATTGTATTACTCAAAATTTCGAATCACGTTATTTTTATTATTTATTAAATTTTATTTTTATTAAATCAAGTTCTCAAGCTTAGTCAGCCTTTTAATCATTTGCCTAAGCATCGAACCCGACATATACTTTACCGATGCCCAAGTAAACTTTAATTACATTCAGAGAGTACTTGTATAAAAGTGATAAATAAATCTATTATATTTCTTGTCGGAACCATGATAGGTAATAAAAATATCCAAACTATATTGTCATAAATCATACTTCAGTAATGTGTATCTCATCCAATCTTTGTTATTATTATACCGAAACTAGTAAGTGAAGAGCACTAGAGAAACTATATTAAAAACTGTTAGTGAACAAAAAATAAAGCCAAAGTTGACTGTAAGTAGTTTAGTATTAAGACAAGTTGTCAACGAGTTTAAGAGCATGTTTTATATAGAATTTACTATTTTTTTTAGAATTAAACTTATTTACGTTAAACAGTTATTTTTTAGTCACCAAAACAAACTCATACATGTCCTCTCGCCATAATTTTTTTTACCGTTATATTTAAGTAATAGCCCCGTCTAACCTGAGGTTGCCTGACAGATATTGCCCTTAACGATGTGGCCACCAAAATATCATGAAATATAATTTTATTTAATACTTATTAATTTTAATTCAAGTGATCTAGTAGTTTAGGGTTAAATCGGCTGCGATAGATGAACAGAGAGAGATACGAGCTGTCCTATATAAGTTCCGATTTTTCTTTTTGACATATGAAATTCTGGAAGCCTATTATATGCGGTCACTGAAATTATGATTCCGGCTTCAACAGACACGAATAATAGTTTATTTAGCCACAAAAAATTAATGAAACAAGCCTCGACTTATAATTACACGGCACAAACAACTTTTAAACACCTTTGAGCCGGATGAGGGGGCTTTCAGAAGTTTAACTTGAGCGACGGTGATTCACTTAAACATAACTTTAATAAATTTTGACGGGTTTCTATTCAAACACTTACAGTGCTATTAATAAACAAGGTTGAGCGTCGGAGAAAATGTACGCCAACATTGCAATTTTAGTTTTACTCCAAATTCATATTATACACAGAATAAGCAAACCTACTACCTTCTAGGAGTAAATATTACTCCCGAAGAAACTCGTACTAGTTTAACCTTTGCTAAGAATAATATGGAATTTTGAGTAATACTAAGTAGAAGCTCAGCGTAAATTTACTTCAAAGCTACACCCTGTTTATTAATAACACTGCTAGTATATATATATCAGAACATTGTATAGAACTTTATGTAAATAATGATTACATTCATAATGGTAAAATAAGCTTTATTATTTTTATTAAAACCTTTTTGCTAAATTTTCTTTTGTTATAATTTAAAAAGAGTAGGAATTCTACATCTTGCGGATTTTCTTTTTCTAGACAGGTATTTGCCGACGTAGGATTTATGAAGCAATAACACAGCTTGACGTTTAATATATGTATTATAAACACATACTTACATGATGAATTCTTATCTATACTATAATAAAAGCGCTATATATAATAAAAAAATAAGTAAAGTCTTTATTACATAACAAGAAAATGACACGAACATACATATGTATATATTTTTCATACATAACATTCATAACTAAAGACAAATTTAGCGCTAGCCAGCGATTTTTTCAAGCAACCTAGCTTTAGATGGAAAATCATGACAAAAATAATAGACTGCGCATACAACTAGATAGATAGATAAATAAATAACATTAAAAAAAAAACAAAATCAAAAGAAGAACAGTTGAAACAGCGTAAATATCACTAATACGAGTAAACCTAATGTACGATAAAAATGGTCAGACACAAGAGCAGAGAGAGAAGTGAGAAAAAATATAGAAAAATAACTATCTTAAGGGCCGTTCATAGGGTGGATTACCAAAACATTATTATCTTGAGCTCCTCCGTGCTTCGTAATGCAAGTGAAGCAAGACCCGGCTGCATCAGTAGTCATTAACACCCACCAATTCGCATTGGGCCCGCGTAGTGCGTTATGGATCATTGATCCTACTCGATTCGATCCCAATCATAGGAAAGAAAGAATTCTCCTGATGGGATGGATGGCGTGGGAAGTATACGCAGA